CCTTATTCCTTTATCTTATTCCTTATTTTTCTCATTGTGACTGAGCCCTTATGTTTACGCATTATGCGTTGTGCAGAAGTGTGTGCGCCCCGCTTAAGCCCTAGAGCATGCGCATGTGACCCCAAAGCCTAGTGCGTATACATACGTATGCGCTCCTGAATGCCCACAATGGGTGCGTTCAGCCGATACTCCGCTAGCCTAGCGCACGTAAGCAGCGAGCGCTTTGCTACCATTTGCTACGGAAAAATTTGGCTGGACAGAAGCGCTCGCTCGTTTCCTCTCCTTTTAATCCATTGGGTCAAAGGAGAGGAAACGAGCGGAAACGAGCGAAAACGAGCGACTGCTCACGATTGCTAGGCTAGCGGAGTATCGGCTGAACGCACCCATTGTGTGCAATCGTCACTATGTACATAACTGGAATGTTAAAATAAAATTTTCAATAACTTACAGCTCTTAACATTACCAATCAACCACTAAACGATTGGTAAAAAAAGAATTTAATCCCAACAGTCCCAACCCAATTATTCCCAACAGTCAAAGTGTAGGCGCTAAAGAAGGTTAAAAATTTGTTGACAATTAATTCTTTCTTTTTAAAACGCGAAACTACCAAAAGGTTTCAATGCGGTACCAAACATTGCCAATCAATCGCCAATCGATTAAAAAAAAAAAAAACTACCACAGTCAAAGTGGGGGGGCTAAGAGAAGATCAACAATTTGTTTTTTCGATTTTTTAACGAAACGCGCAACCACCAAAAGTTTTTAATGCGGTACCAAACATTGCCAATCAATCGCCAATCGATTAAAAAAAAAAAAAAAAAAACTACCACATCAAAGTGAGGGGGCTAAAAGAAGATCAAAAATTTGTTTTTGATTTTCTAGAAAAACGAGAAACTACCGAACGTTTTGAATACGGTACCAAATACTACCAATCAACCACCAAACGATTGGTAAAAAAAAATATATCAATAATCCACTTGAGGGGCTAACTTTGTTGAGGTGCGTGGAAAGGGGAAAGAGAATCTTATTCTACAATAATAGTGTATCCCACAGGAGCAATTGGGAAGATTTATTTGTATCTTTATTTTGTAGCCGGGAACCGGCTGTTGTTTTGTGACACGGGATTTTGAGGAATAAATTGTTATTGAATTTACTCGTTGCACAATGTTATTTTTTTTGTAGTAGATAAGGGAGGAACGGAAAAAGGGGTGATTTATATTACTTGCGAATATAAAGGTTAATACTGAATTTATTAATTCAATTTGTTGTTGGTACAGTCTCCACAAAATAGGGGTAAGGAATACAAGTTTCGCTTGATTATTAAAATTAAACTCACTTTTATCACGCTGGCTTTTACTGAAGGAGCGCTTCCTAATGCGTCAATCAACCCTCGAGAACGGAAGGGCTCAAACTCGTCAGTCAGCCGGAACAGTTTCGAGATGAAAAGTCCACTGACGTTAGTTTAAGAGACAAGAGTCGATACTTAATGATTCGACAATTAATTAATAAAGACAATGAGCATAATGCGTAATGAGCTTTGCTCCGACTGAGTACGTATTTTTTATAGTGGCCGATTTGAATGCTGGCTGAATTTGTCGTGTTCTGATTTGCTAATGAACGAATAGAGATGGTAATTATGGGAGGCTTCTATGGCTTCCATTGGTTAGAATTAATTCCTTCTAGAAGGTTCTAAGGACGCTTTGGAGGGAGTCAAAGGACGCACTTGAGTCATACTGCATTAGCTCTCGACTGATAAATATGTTATTTTTCTCGTGCTATCAGTAGGACGCTTCTTCACCGAGATCCTTTGATTCCTGCCGGCATTCTGGGTGGTACAGCCGAGGCGTGTTTTTAAATTATCGATTGCATTGTAGGTGACTGCGACGTCTTGGTGAATCATAGCATGGTAAGGGGCGGCTGCAACGTCTTGGTGAATCATAGCGAAGGTTAATATTAATACGAAAGTGTAAGGTTTACGACAGAGACAGTTATAATTGACCGATTCTGAAGAGTTTTGAAAAAGGGGACAAAATTTAATTTGCGTGACGTCACAGCTCGTAAAGGATCTCTATGAGGTTCTTCAGTGAAAGCTAGCATAGGGTCTGTTCGCGTTGCTTGCACTAAGAAAGCAATGTTATTATTCATATACTTATGTGATAAATTTACAAGTTTAAAAGTGTACAAAGTGTCGTATAATTTTTCAACTTACAACAATCGATGAACATGTACATACATACACTTATTTTTTTGTGAATATATAATTATCCTCAAATATTGGAACATAGTACATTTTTCCACACAAATAGCATATTTCGAGTAGAAAATATTATATTTATAATCTTATTGAAATAACCTACTTTTGCATTCATCCTGCCTGTTTGACGAAATTAATAAATCTTCTGTTCATGAAATAAATATTATTGTATTAAAAAATACAAGCAATATCAGATTCAATCTGTTTTATTCTTATAAGTTACACAATGAAAATTACATGTTTCTAAGATAAATATTATTTAATAAATATATTAAATATTATATACATATGTATATATACAATATATGTACCATAGGCAACAATATATATTAAAAAAGATGTAGCTGCGTAATAATAGGTTTATGGCTCACAATCAGTCAAGCTTCGTATTACTACGTCGCTCAATGTCCTTAATCTCTAGCATGTCTGTTTTCAGATGCAGTTTCATAATCTCCCTCCATATGTCCATCCTGTGCTGTTCATTATCGATACCGATCCGTCTCAAGCTATTCTCATTTATTCTTAACAATGTCTTTCCCGTAATGTCATGCTTAAAAGACACAAAAATTGTTACACTAAGTACGTATAATTCTTTTCGACAAAAAAAATCTTGCTGTACAATTAGCAACATAGAATTAACCCTCCATCTGTATATGTCTTTTCTGCATCCTCGGAGTGTATACGTGGTCTGTCACGTTTGACGTTATTTTTTCTTATCTTAAAGTATTAAAAAAAAATCACAAAACATCCGTCTATATTATAGTTGACGATTTTATAGTCATTTTGATTTGACATTTTCTGGCAGGCTTGCAAGTTTTACAATTACGAGCAGATATTATTTTGGCTCGGACGCCGTAGACTCATATACAGATTGAGAGTTAATATCGTGTGCAAATCCTTGTGATTGCAAGGAGCAACAGGATCAGAGGTGGAATTTGGAAGACATCCAACATAAGTAAGAGGCCACTTACGTGCAGAAAATTCTCGTAGTACAGCTGATAGTAGTCACTGCAGTGTCGTCTAAGCCACTTCTGCACGTCTAGCACGTTCCACAGGTATATCGGACGTGGCCGGGTTGTCTTACTCTGAAAAATGCAATGACAACTTACAGTATGTCAAAGAAACCAAGATTTCGTCTATGCACAATCTCATCGTTTTACTTTCGTCCTGACGGTGGAATTAACGACCTCCTCTACCATCGTGTTTCCGCTCTTTGACGGCGGAAAACCAAAATGCGTCGCGATAAAAAACGATGAACAGTGTCATAACAAACTAGACGTTGTAGAAATCATATGATGCGCAAATTGCTCCTGTCAAGCCGTCAAGGTGGAGAACGTGAATAAAATCAATAAAGATGAAAGAAGGCACACACGATGCGATTTTTCGATTGAGGACAAGCTATCGATAGGAAAATATCGATTCAATGCGTAAATGTATCGTAGTTTATCGATGTTTCCTAACATCGATATATCTCACTTGTCGTCATTTTATTTTGGCGGGCGGATGGAGAGAAATCTCCATGAAGTTAATAGAAGAAGGTTAACATCGTGTTATATTTGCAGATAAAATTTGATATTTTAACAGGGCGTTTTAATTGTGTGCGTTTGCCTATTCGTGGATACATTACATCAAATATTTGGAAAATCAACTTGCGAACATGGAGATTTCATGGACGAATACTGCTAGTGCGTTGCAAGATTTTGCAAACGTTCTTGTTTGTGGAAAATGGTAATTGTTAAAGGACCGTCTACAATAGCCGTAAGAGTATGCAGGCTGTGTTCCTTTAATTCACTGCTAGTACTGAAAATCTATAGTTACGTGACGAAAACTATATATTTTCAGCAATGCCAGTAAAAAAGGAACACGGGAGCAGTAAGACGTAAACAGTAACCTATTGAACCAACCACAGTCGATTATTCTTGAATTGTAAAATCCCACTAGTCAGTAGTTTACTGCTTACGTCTTACTGCATACTTTTACGGCTATTATAGACGGTCCTTAAGATTTTGTTGTTATATATCATTATTTTATACTTGTAAACTCATATATATACTGTACTTTTATGCTTATATGTATTATATGTTCATAACATAAAAATTCTTTTTATGTAGCGGGTCCAAACCAGTGTCTCCTGTAAGGCTCACAAATTGTGGCCATTTCTTTTGTCATGATTGTATTGAGTCTGCAACAAAATGTGTCAAATGCGATGTACCAGTGCAGCCAAAGGAAATAAAGCCTGATCATTTAATATCCAATCTTGTACAGAATTGCGATCTTATTGCAGAAATTATTCAGAAGAGGTTAGATTAGATGTTCATTTTTTGGATACAATTACAGAGTGTTCAAAAATTTGACATACAAACTTTTAGGGATAATAGAAGAGACCAAAACAAGTGTTTTTTTTTTGTTAAATAACCATGGGTCTGAAACATTGAGCGACTTGTGAACTTGTGCAGATAAAATAAGAGATTGGAGAAGGTATTATTTTTTTAGTATCATATTTTTTAGTCTCTGTATTGCCCCGATTAGCTTATTTATTGTCATAATAAAGTAATTCTCAATCACACCTATAATAACCTTTTCCAATCTCTTATTTTACCTGTGTAGATTCACAAGTCGCTCAATGTTAGTTTCAGATCCATTGTTATTTAACAAAAAAACATTAGTTTTGGTCTCTTTGATTACCCCTAGAAATTTGGACATCTTTTTGAATGTATATAAATAATATATGTATATTATAAGTAATAGAGTAATAAAAATAAATTGCCATTTTAGAGATGTATGGGACAATATTACAGACACATCCAATACGTCATTGGACAATACGATATCCACAGTACTTCATACACCAAGGAAGCAGGATTATATACGTAAGAAGAATATAAATAAAACAAATCCCAAAGGTGAAACACAATTACACACCGCATGCTTGAAGGTATAGACATCAAACAGTAATATATCCCTTATTTAGTTTAAAATGACTATTGTATTCTATCTAAATTAAATTACATGTCAAACATAAATTTAAAAATAACCATTTTTAAACGTTTCAAGAAATGATTATTTTGCAGGGAAATGCCGAACAAGTGAAACATCTCTTGTTGGCTGGTGCAAATCCTAATACAAAAGATCATGCTGGTTGGACACCACTGGTAAAGGAATTCTATCAATGTTTTTTACGGTTTCCTTTAAAAAATATATATTTTTGCACTATGGGTGCATTCCACTTCACACACCATGCGTGAAACGGAACGCACCCTATCTCATCAAGTTTGAATTGCTATTATTCTGTATAATCATTTTAGCAAGAAATGGTTAGTTTTGGATATACTGAAATATGTGAACTATTACTGAATTGTGGAGCATCACCTGATATATCAGGTTACAAGAATCGAAGACCACTACACGAAGCTATTAAATGTAACAGAATTGAAGAAGCCAAGTTGTTATTGCGTCACAATGCTGACAGAAACCAATATGATCAGCATGGCAAAAAACCTATGTACGTGTACACTTTATTGTAACGACAAAGAATATTTTAAAGACAGCTTTGTTACATAATCTTGATTTGACCATGCAGAGATTACTGTAAATCCGAAGAGATGCGAGAGCTTCTGATGGATTTACCAAACACCCCGTCTGAAAAGGTATCGGACCTCAATCAAATGCTAGATACATCTACTCGTACATGTGACAAATTTGTGATTCTCGCGTCAAATTTAAAACATGAAAATCAGAAATTGCTTGGTCTCGTGGCTGCGAGACATAAATTCAAAATTTTGACAACATATAGGTATAGTCTATTTTTTTGTATTTTTTTATTGTTTTTCTCTTTGAAGTTAATGTACAATAATATGATATAATCAACTTTTGTATTCTAGACCAACTGTTACACACGTTATAGTAGAGGTGAATGAGCAAAATATTACAAAATTAACACTTGATGTTCTGTTCACAATTATCTATGGAAGTTGGCTTCTCAATAGTGAATGTAAGATGAAATATTATTACATGTTTATGATGATTCTTTATGCTGTGAATGTCCAGTTGTTTGCTTAACAAATATATTAATAGTCTAATACAGTAAAATTGTTATATTTAAATAAAAATTTAAGCTATACAAAATTAATATGTATAGGAACAAATCAACATTAAATTGTGCGATTTATTTAAAGGGATTCAACTAGCAGCAGACATGGATGAAGTAGCTAATGTGGATCTCGAATTGTTCGAAGTTAACGGCGCACCCACTTACGGCATCCCAAAGAAAGCGAGACGAAACGCGGAATGTAAAAATCCACGCCTGTTCAACAATTGTTTTTTTTATTTTATTTTGCAAGCGAATATGATTTATTCTATCGGTGATGTGCGATTTACGAAAGACGATCTGGTGAGACTTGTGAAAGAAGGAGAAGGAACGGTGCTCACTAGAGAACCAGATCCGGAAGACTTGAAAGATATGTCGCAAGTGATACCTTTTCACGCTGCGAATGACTTATTTCATCCTTTGCACAAATGTACGCATTATATTATATATATGCCAGGTAAAGGTGAACCTCGTGTTAGGTACAAGATGCCGCATATTAAGAGTCTGCCGTTGATATGGTTAATTGAATGCATCGAAAAATTTACTCTTATCGATCCGGCTCACCTGGGGTTGTCTTAAATTATATATTATATTTTTTGTTCAATTATTACAATATATTCTATTTATTTTCAATGATAGAGTAATACGAAAATTCTACCTATTTTTATATTATAATGTGTGTGTATACATACACGCGCAGGCACACACACACACACACACATTATATATATATATATATATATATATTATAAATGTGTGTATATATACATATACAGAGTGCATCATAAATGTAGGCTGCTACTTCATGGGTGGATTCTACTCGTCTAAATAAGTAAAAAAGTTCATATAAATGTATGTCCAAAAATGTATTGTTACAGTCATGTTTAAAGAGACACGAAGGATGGGCACCATTTAGATTAGATGGATATCAGTGGTTTCCTGGTGTGTTTTTATGTTTTTGGGAATATCTAAAACAAATTGTTTACTCCCGGCCTGTTAACAACATTAATAATCTTTATCAGTGCATTGAAAACGGGTTCAATGAAATACGCAAAACGTCGGGAGAAAGGGTAAGAAGATTGTTAACAATGGAAGACTCAGAACTGAATTCCGCTGGTTTTGATGAAACTTGGCAGGATTACAGACAAAGTTTCCTCGAATGTAATAGTACCCCTATTTAGGTGCAGACGGTCAAGCGTTTCTGAGATATTTTATTAATAAATTTAGTGATGTCTTTAGAGTAAAGTTTATTAGGACACTTATAAGCAAGTATTTGTGGCGTATGGTAACTGCCTCATAATATTTGGAGGGGTAAAAACCATAGTGATGCAAGTCAAATTTTTAAAAATATTTTCTCGTGTGCATAGATGCAATTTATATATTGTACAGATTGCATCTATGCACACGAGAAAATATTTTTAAAAATTTGACTTGCACTACTATGGTTTTTACCCCTCCATTTGTAGACTTGAGTTTAAATCCCACAATTAATTTTTTTATATAATGTTTTATGACAAAAATAATTATTGTTGATATAAAAAATAAAAGAATTTTAATATAAAAATTTGTATTACGTATTACATAAATTATATATTATAATATATATATATATATATATATATATATATATATATATATATATATTATAGTTACTTTATAAAAGAACATATAAATAAAATAATTATGAGGCAGTTACCATATCCATTACACCACAAATACTCGTCTGTGAGTATCCTAACAAGCTCTGGTCTAAAGACACCACTAAAATATCTCGGAAACAATTGACCGTTTACACTCAAATAAGGGTACTATTACATTCAGGGGAACTTTCTCTGTAATCCTGCTAAGTTTCATCAAAATGGGCGGAGTTCAGTTCTGAGCCTTCCTTTATTAGCGATCTTCTCACCCTTTCACAAACACGCAATGTTTTACGGTCGTATTCCATTGAACCCGTTTTCAATACACTGACAAAGATTATTAATGTTGTCAACAGGCCAGGAGTAGACCATTTATTTTAGATGTCCCGAAAAACAAATAACTAGTAAATAATAAGTTTGATTATTGGCTGATCAGTTCAAATATATTGTACTATTTGATACGCGTATCAAGAGGTCGGTGTAAACTAGGCCACTGTAACAATGCATTTTTGGATATACATTTATATCTTATATGAACTTTTTTGCTCATTTTGATGAGTAGAATGTACCCCTGAAGTAGCGGTTTACACACATTTATGTTACACCTTGCATATACCTGTATATATACATATAAGATATAAATTATAATATGTATAATATATTAAATACATTATACATCAATATTTTTTTCAAATTTTTTGTTCTGTGCAATGAGATACTCTTGAAAAGAGCTTCACGTGATTTATGCAAATTGAAAAAGGGACAAACACGAATTTATACGTATGTAAAAAACAAATTCATTGACAAAATATGTTATATATCACAAATAAGCTAAATTTTGATACATGTGTTATTTTTAGTTAGATTTATATATCTATCCCTTCCAAAATGAGCTGTGAAGAATGCCTCTCTCTTTCAATAATTTTCATTATCTTTTTGTCAGTACGAGATAGTTTTAGTCGATTAATGCTTTAAGCATAGGCGTGAATCGACATGTAGTGCGATAAATTTTATGTCCGTTAATTTAACAGTCATTACGTCCAGACAGTTCTTATGGAATTCTATCAGGAATTTATGCTATAGTCGTGGGACGATGCCACCTTGTGTGCAAAGTGCGATTAATTCTGGAGGAAAATATCGTACGGTATCTTGTACATTTACGGGTGAAGTACCGCTAGTCGCACACGGGCACACACGCATACGCGTCGTACACATACCCGTGCATGCGCAGCGTGTATACGTATTACAAGCGCACACGGTGCACGTGTATGGAAAGGAAAGAGGGAAACGACGGAAGAGCGGCTAGAAAGGAGAACAGGACGGAGAGGGAAAGAGGAAGAAGAGTGTAAAACTGGAGGAAAATAGAAAAAAGAGTGAGATCCGGCCGCGCGGAGGAGAGCGTGAGGATCAAGAGGAGAAGACGAGCATGGACCGAGACTATGCCGAGTACGTAGCGCATCCAAGAGAGATACCTAGATAATCAGTTATCGAGGAAGAAACGAAGAATGCATACCGAAGAAAGCAGGGACGGATTGCCCGATTAGATATCCATCTTAAACTCTTCTGACTCGAGTCGTGAATAAAATTATTTATTACAGGAATGGAAATTTTAAAAAAGACGTCTTATATATCGCGAATAATGCAGGCGCAATCGGTATTGCTTTCAAAATGACATTTCTTAATATGTATTTCACAAGTACACTTTAGAATTTTGGTAAATAGTGTACTAATTGATTAGATTAATTAAGATATTGATTAAATTTTTTTCTTCGTAGGCGTTACTTATTCCGTGCGATAATCTAAATTGCTGATTTCACCCGTGTTTTGTAGGAACAAAAAAAGCAACAGAAGTAGCTAGCACCGCCCCTGTCAACAACCCTATCCCCTCCGGATAGCGTTCGCAAAGCCGGTCGACCGTCATCTCGTCTTGTTTCCTTCTTTCTTTTTCTTCCTCTTTGTTTCTCTCACCTTCTCGGAGTTCTCGGGCCGCCACCGCATGGAGGTGGGGATCCGCACACCCTGACCCACAAGTAGGCCCTGATCTCTACCCAGTTGGTGCTCGTCAAACGAGCCGAGGCAGGCGATGTGGGTTCGTACAACGCAACATTGTGAACGTCGTTGAACTCTCCCGACGGTGAAGAGAGGCAGTTTGACACGCACGTGATCGAGACCACGCGAATAAGACAGTGCACCTCTTGGAGACAATTTCCTTCTTTCTTTCTCTCTTTTTTTCTCTTTCTTTTTTCATTGTTTCTCCCGATCGAAGAAACAAACGGAGACGGCTAGAGGGAGGCTGAAGATGATATTGAGAGCTGCCCCCGGGGGCATCGTCCTTTTGCTCGCGCTCATCGGGTTAGTTGGCGCGCAGGATGATGATTCCTTGGCTAGTACTTTCCTGTCAGGTAAGAATCGCGATTCGCAACTGACTGAGACATTGCGTGGGAGGCATGATACTGTGACATTCTCAGTCAAAGTTTGTAGAGGAAGACATTTGTCAGAGAACGATAAAGTTCATGATTTGGCTCGGTTTTCTATCGATCCATGTCGTTGAAAAACTTGTTTGATGTATTACTGAAGAGATTTAATAAAGCCAATACTCGTAGAAAAGAATACTATAATATAATAATCAAAAGGATAGTATTGGCAACGCGAAATTGATGAAGAGATGAGATGGGAGCTTCTTGAAACTTCCATCAGAAAAGTTTTACCGCGTACAAGTTTATGATTTTTTACAACTTATAATCATATACCGTGAATGACTGAAAGATGGGAGATGGGAACAAAATTGACGTTCAGCTTATGAAAGCTTACGACTGTTACGTTTAATAAAATGCACCGTCCCCAAAAAGAAATGTGATAATCATACAGATATTTTATTATTCGCTTATATATACATCCGTAAGTATCTTTTCATTGTTACACTTATGTAAAATTCTCTTATAGCATTCCTAAAAAAGTTATTGTCATAAATTTACATGAAAAAGAAATAATTATGAACTTTAATTGTGTCAGTTATTTATTATTAAACGATCAACATATGATGCAAGTTTCTGGAACGGCCTAAATATATATATTCGGTATTATTTGATATACAATACTTGTGCAATATACGAACGTGCAAGTAATACCGTATCGTTAGTTAATTGAGATGGATGTTTAGGTCAGAACTGTGTCTGTATTGAACTGATTTTGTCTCTTTCCTGACGGCTCGTGATGAGCGGCGTGATTTTTGCGTACATATGCGACGCACGTAATATACGGCCGACAAAAAGTTACCCGGTAGCGGCTTCGAGAAATAGAAATTCGCGTGCGCCGACTGTATGCGGCGCACGCTTTTATAGGTAGAATCTGGAAGGATGCGACTGTTCTACTTTTAGAAGTTGCGTATAGCGCTATGCGGATGATGGTCGATTCACTGGCGGTAACAAGTAACAAGGCCGCTTGTGAGCTTAAAAACTAGGAAGCGATGCACTCGTCTTCGTTCCACGTTCTAGGCTGACATTATCTTTTTACTCGATTTGTTTATTGTTCGCAGAGGCGGACTTCCGGTCAGCCTGATTTTTTGCTACCGTTATTATTACAATAAGCAAAATTAGTCATTGCCTTCTTCACTTCGGACAGGAAGGCGATACATTGTAATGTTTTCTAGGGTACTATACTGTATCGAAAGTCCTGATTCTCATAAACGCAATGTATTGCTTTGATATATAAGTGAAGCACGACCGTTATGATATACCATTATACAGTCAGTTAGAGAGAAAAACGCTATTTATGGTCCGGACTGGATCTTTTGATAGCCTATAATAATAATATTATGTGAATTTTATATACTTTTTCCAAACTCAGTAAACTGCGCGCCGATTTTTTAGCGGCGTTTAAAACAGCTCCTGGTTGGAACAGTAAATCCACATACTTAAATCGATAATCGATTTAAATTGATGCTAATAAGCATCTTGTGATTTGATAATGATGTTTTAAAGATCGACAAAAACTCGGCGCGCAGTTTACTTTAAAAAAAGTATATGAAATTCACACAATATTATTATTAGGCTACAAAAAAAAATATAAAATCCAGTCCAGACTGTAAATGGCATTTTTCTCTCTAATTGATTGTATCGCTTTGAGTTTATCAAAATATCGAATAATTTTACGTCTCATTGGAGGATTCTTAAGGCTCCTGGATGGTCAGCCGAGAACTCTGCGTTGACGGTGGCGCCGCCACTCTCTCCTCTCACTCTCTCCAATGGAGAATTCTGTCTTGTGACATGTTGACAACCTATTTTGTCGTCCTTGCTATTTCTTTATTACTCGCTCTGTGCTTGTGCTCTAACGTTTAACGTATTCGTGAAAATCGTAAAATTGACCGAAAAGTAAGATTTGCATGCGGAAGTAACGTTTTCACCTCCTTTCGATAGTCGTTAAACGGCTGTTTTTCCCGTATGTTTAGGCTTTGTTTTATGGCTGTTTGTTTATTGTCGAGGGAAAAGGGTAGTTTTCGGTCAATTTCGGAAGTGTTCTGAAACGATCTATAGTGATGTTTTATTGAAATGTCTCTTTATTTGAAAATGGTACGGACGACAAAATTGGGTGTTTTCCTCGCCTCAATAGTGAGAATTCAATATGGCCGCGGTGACCATCCAGGAGCCTTAAGGGCCACTAAATTTTATTATTTATTCTTCAAGTATTAATTACGAAGGCACGAAATTATGATCAAATATTTATCGTTAAAAGCATGATATAAGAACTTTTTGAATCGAGCAGAATTAATTGAATCATGTGAAAGATCGAATCACACCATCGTGCAATCGGCCACCTTAAAGTAATGGAAAATCAATGTCTTAAAAGTGTACGGATTTCCTGTGTGAGATACGGCGAGCAAAAGATTTATCGAAAATTGCAGAAACCGATCCTAATTAAGCTCGCGCGTGACGTTGAAAATACAACGTAATTTTACGTAATTTTACGGATCAGTAATGACGGAATCTTGACTTAATAGTACACCAGTATTTCCAAATTCGTAAAAAATCAGTCACAACCTACATATACCTACATTTTATTTGCATATATTTTTAATAAAATTTTTGCACGAAATAAATTATATATTTTTATGAAGTAATAATGACAAATTATAACATGGATATAAATAATAAATTTATTCAGAGGCAAGTTTTTTTTCGTAAAAGCCTACATGCCGCATGTGTACTTCTTTTTAATTTTCTTTGCATATTTCTTTATTTTAGACTTTTTCAGATTATTTTAATTAACAGTCAGTACATACATATTATACCAACTGGTCATAAAACATTAGATATTTTTTAGATATAAATATTATTCAATTCTGATATTATCCACTTTCAATAAAAAACGCAATTAAATATTGAGGGTTTCAAAAATTGGATGAGTTTTTGCGAAGTTTAGAAATACTGTACCTTATTCTATATACTATATATATATATATATTTTTTATGTTTTATATACGTTTCGCAGGTATGTTTCTTGATTTTTAGTTTGAGACTCAATTATATAACATTGAATGAGTCTCTCTTAAAAATAATAGTATCTTTTTTTATTCAAGACCTGCGGACAATCAGAATTCTGTTTCTTTATAACTGTTGTTTTGAAAACGAAAACGTAAAAAATTGTTTAGGTACATAAAAACATATAAATGTATATAATATTGTACATAATATATAATTATTGTAAATATAATTATTATAAATATATATAATTATTGTACATAATATGTCCATATATGTTTTCTTTCTTTTGTATAATCTCTGTCCGCATATATAAGAAAAATAATAAGAAGAATAAACAAAAAATAACTAGGAAAATAACTTTTGCATTGTTTTTTTTACAAAAAGTTTACAAAATTTTTTACAAAAATTGTGATTAGATTATACAATATTCTGTATATAATTACATATAATCATATTTTACATGCAATTATTACATTTAGATATGATTAAATATGAGCATTTTTTTTTTATTTCTTTATACTTTAATCTTTATATAGAAAAACGATGCAAAAATTATTCTTTTAATTTTTTATTATTTTTCCTTATGTATACGAAAAAAGAATTATACAAGAGGAAAAATCTATATTAATATATTGTAGGTATATATTTATAATATATAATATGTCGATTTTTATATAAAAATATATGTAATATATTGTATATATTTTTTATATGTATGAAAAGTGTTTTACCAGGATACCAGTACCTTTTTATTCTGTTTTTTTTTATTTTTTTTATTTCTGCAGAAATTCTCAAAAGTTATTAATTATAGTCAATAGGATAAACGTGTAAACTAAAACGAATGTTTCTTAGTGTCTCATTGATATAATAAAAGTGTCTTCTAAGACTGTAGCTCATGGAATCGGTATTTGCGTTCACGGACTTTACTGCGTAATCATTCAACGAATCCGAAATCAAATTGCAGCGTTAGACGAAACACGTGCGACGCCGAAGACAGCTATATACGCGGCTTGAGTCGAGCAGCTCATTAACTACCGTTATGTTTGTTTGGTCCGTTATGCCTGCCAAAGTGAAACCAGCTGGGGGAGTCGAGTATAATATCATCGTGCGAATTTCTTGGCGGGACCCGGCGGCGGCGTGACGAATTGCGGTACTTCGCTTAAACTTTCATCCATAATCGGCGCCATCGTTAACACACGGCACCGCGGCGGTGCGAAACACCCGCACGATTGACTCCTCCCTGTGCGCTCGTTGAATTGGATGCGATTGATTTCGAAAGTTGCAAGCGCATAAAATAATATATATATATATATATATATATATATATATATATGTATGTATATATATACTTAGCGTATATAAAATAGCGGTCAATATTATATAAATGTAGGAGAATTAAATAAATGCCTTGGTGAAAATTTATCTTAGAATTCTTTACATAATTGTTTAGAATTTCTATATGCCTAAACTTCAGAATTTTTCAGTCCTATAATAATTTTAATATTATGTTTTAGAAAATTTTGTAAAATTTTTTATACATATTGCAACGCTTCTTTATATTCGTGCATTCTAAGAGACATTTTCCCTAACTAATAATTAACTATTAATATAATGTCTCGGTTTTCTTCGCTATATTAAAGACTCATGTGGATAAGAACAATTGTATACGTTAAAAAAATGTCTGATCTTAAAAATGTATAGAAAGACTAATATAATTCTTATTTCCATCATGAAATGATGGGTAATCATGAGTATTATTAGAGGATCGCGAGTCTCTTTTTTTTAGATATAAAATCATTAAATTTTTCTTCTAATTTTATGGAAATTTGGAATTGACTTTACATTATATTGTTTCAAATTTCTCACCTTTCTAAAAATTACCAACTATTTTTTTTACATAATATCGATCTCATGGAATATATAATAGAAAAATAGAATATAATCTGATGTAAACTCTCCGGTTCCGCCGGAGAGGTCTTCGATAATAGCGAAGTGGTACCCAGGTCATTAGCTTGCTTCCCACGTCTGTTAAGATCAAGCTCGGTCATCCTTGACCACTTTCGTAAAGGTGGTCTCGCCGATAAAATTATGTATGCAGGAATTCCTGCTGTTCGCTGACGATGCCCCTACTGCGTCACCCTAAGCGATATACAGTTACAATTAATGATGACAGCGGCAGCGGTGACAGTTGTAATTTTGTAAGAGGCTTTCCTCTAATCTCGCCGCCGCGAGATTGTGAGGTAACACCTCCGCGGTCGACGCACCGGGCCTTGTCCCAACCCGCGTTTCTCGGCATACTCGAATCGATTAAATTTCCCTTCTTTCTTTCCTCAGGATCGAGGTCTAACTGATTCAGAATTTGGGACCGTTATAATTCTGATCACCGCCAACACTTGTAATACCTTCATAGCTCTTATAACGAATCTCTTTATAATACAATACTTCTATTTCTTCTTTTTTTTATAATTAATAAAGTAATGCAACTTTGAGAAATTTATATATTATACATATATTTGTACATAGAGAAAATATATGATATTGTATTAAATTTAAATTACGCCAATTTTAATTTGTCATGATAGATCGAGATATATATAGGAATGATTTATGTACGCAGGCTTCTTAAATTCTTTAACGAGCACGGCGAAGATTGCTGACTGTCCGGGAGTATGCGTGCACGCGTGGGCGTCGATAATGTGCGACGATGTCCTCGAGGACGTGCAATGTCCTGCGGCGAGTATGCGATGCTGCCTGCAGGATCCGATAAATAGTACCTCGTCCGAAAACGCGATCGACGACGAGGAGCCCACTTCGACCACGTCCACGACGGTCGTCAAGACCACGACGATTTCTACGACGCCCCCGACAACTACAACGATGCTCAGCACGTCGACTTCCGTCTCTTCGGCAAAAACTACACCGGTACGTTCAGCAGATTTGGTATTAGAGAAAATAAGTTGGGCTGAAAACTACTCTAGAAAGTTATTGCTAGAAAACAAGATATACATATATATATATATATATGTATATATATATATATATATATATATATATATATATATATATATATATATATACACATATGTACACTGCTAAAAAAAATTAAGAAATTACTTTTTCTCAGTAAATTTTTGCACATTTTTAAACTGTAATTACTCAGCGAATAATTAACATAAAAAAAGTATACTCAAAGGCGTGGTCATCTTTGTATAACGACGTATATGAGATATCCAAAAGCAGTATTCCATCGCCTAACGAAAAAATTGGTGAACATAATCATTGATACCATCTTAAAGTAGTACAGACTTTACTCTTTCAAATAAAAAAAAAACTTTGTCCTACACCGATTATTTAGCGAGATATCACAATTTAAAGTAACCCCTGTTTTTTTTATGATTTCAGCACGGTACCGCCGGCATTTGCGTAACCTGATGTGCACCATATGGGGAGATTGCTCGGTCGGATTTTGCAAATCATGAATGTATGTGTATGTGTATGGAGTGTACATATGTATGTGTGTACATGTAGAGGTTTTTTTTTAGTAAGAAGTGTTGTCATCTCTTCGTCGTATTACCCTGCGCAATCTTGATCTCATGTTGATACATTTTTTTACATCAGATTAAGAAATTTTATTCCAAATTTGACGCAGTGCCTCTTCAATCACACATACATATGTACACTCCATACACATACACATTCACATACACATACATTTATGATTTGCAAAATCCGACTGAGCAATCTCCCCGTGCTGCACATCAGGTTACGCAAATGCCGGCGGTACTGTGCTAAAATCATAAAAAAACAGGGGTTATTTTAAATTGCGATATCTCGCTAAATAATCGGCGTAGACAAAGTTTTTTTTTTTTCATTTAAAAGAGCAAAGTCTATACTTTAAGATGCATGATATCAATGATTATGTTTGCCAATTTTTTTGTTAGGCGGTGAAAAACTACAAATTTCATAAGATCTTGGGTATCTTAAATACGTCCTTTTACAAAGCTAACCACGCCTTTGAGTATTAACCTGAGTGAAAATTGAACAAAAGCACCTTATAGTAGAGAGTTTGCCATGTAAAACCTTTTTTTAAAACTTTTTTTATTATGTTATATATTCGCTGAGTAATTACAGTTTAAAAATGGGCAAAAAGTCATTGAGAAAAAGTAATCCCCTAATTTTTTTGAGCAGTGTATATATCTTATTATATATGTTGTATATTATATAGGTGCGCGCGCATATACGTACACGCACACACGCACACGCACACGTACACGTACACTCACACACACTCTTGCACGCGCGCGCACACACACACACACACACACACACACTTGCAAAAAAAACAGGCCACTTAAAATCAGCACTAAAAAGCGCCAAATTTAAAGTATTGTAAAAAATATTGTGAAAAATGATCGCAGAGTTTTGTTTAAAAAAGCGTTTTAAAGCTTGAAACCTTTTGATGCTTTAAGGCTCGTTTCTTTGCGAAGATTTTTACTACAAACGGTACTAATTTAAAGTTGCAAAGTTGAAGAATAAACTCCAACTTTTATAGCGTGCACGTGGAGAATAAAATTTATTCTTTAAATTTCATCGATTGTATCGAAAACTATAACATTTTCTTTTTAAAATACTTTTTTAATTATTACGCTACCATTTTTTTCATCGAGTTATGACAATTTAAAGTGCGTAGTGCATTTTCAGGTTTTTTTCTCTAAAAATCTGTATTCTTCCGTCAATATCCGTATATCTTCTGATTTGTTATAAAAATTGTTCCGTTGACAAAATGGTGCAAGTGACAAATTGAAATGTTCATACAGGAATGACGAACCGCGGGGTACTTATCTCCGCTGTGATACACACACACATACACACCACACACATACAGACACATGCACGAGGCGTAAATGTGACCGTCTACCTCCACATGGAGGCATCTTGGGTCGACTATAATTTGTAGAGACAATGAGACAATGATGGTTGTCATTTTAAATGATGTACATACATGTGAGAGCTTTTCAAACATATAATACTTTAACTTTGATCGATTTTGAGAAAAAATTAAAATTATATCTTCTTTTGCGGAAAGGTTACACAGTCGGACTTACACTTCGTGTGTGTATGTGCGCGCGCGCGCGTGTGTGTGTGTATGTGTGTCACAGCGGAGATAAGTATCCCGCGGTTTGTCGTTCCCGTATGAACACCGCAATTTGTCATTTGCATTGTTTTGTCAACGGAGCAGTTTTCATAACAAATCAAAAGATACGGATATCGGCGGCAGGATACATTTTTAGAGAAAAGACCTGAAAATGCACTGCTCATTTTAAATTGTCATCATAACTCAGTGAAAAAAAAAAATGGTAGCGTAATGATTAAAAAAGCATTTTAAAGAGAAAATGTTGAATTTTACAATACAATTGATAAAATTTAAAGAATAAATTTCGTTCTCCACGCTATGAAAGTTGAAGTCTATTCTTCAATTTTGGAAGGTCCACTTTAAATTAGTGCCGTTTGTAGTAAAATTTTCGCAGAGAAACGAACCTTGAAGCATTCAAAAACTGAGGATTTAAGCTTTTTTAGGCATTACTCTGCGATCATTTTTCACAAAGATATTGCAACTTTGAATTTAGTGCTTTTTAGCACTGATTTCAAGTGGCCCGTTTTTTTGCGGGTGAGTGTATTTAGATAATAATTATAGTACTGTTAGTACTTACAAGTACTTACAAGTTACAATTAAGTAACACTTCCCAAGTGATATACCTACGCCGATTTTTTTTTTTGGGTGTGATTCAGGAACTCAAAAGATGATAATTTATGTCAAAAAAATTAGCTTAATATTGTTTAGATGACTTATATATACAAGATGTTCTCTTTTTAATGATACAGGTATGATCAAATATCTCTCAAACAACACATTTGCGAAAAAAGTTTTTAAACAAAAGTTGCTTGGTTTCAATCACGTTTAAGATGATGACATTTGCTTGACCTAGAAAGCCCCTCTGAACATCACGATAAGATTGCCTCCAACTTTTTCGATAAAATTATAAGATTTTATAATAGGAACTGATTTGTTTCATTATCCTGCGATAAAAAGTATATATTTATATATATTTTTGCGAGATATTTGATCACACCTTCCTATATCATTAAAAAGAGCTAGCATCTTGTATAAGTCATTTATACAATATTGAGCTAATTTTTTTGGTATAACTTATCATCTTTTGGATTCTTGAATCACACCCCAAAAGATGAAAAATCGGCGTGTATTACTTGGAAAGTGTTATTTGTTAGGTTAGGTTAGGTTAGAGGAAAACTTACCCTTATGATGAATAACTTTATATAATCATAAAACAGCCCATTGCATATATTAGTATATTATTTAATATATCTACATATTCAAATATATCATTAGACTCGTGAAAATGTCAATAAATTAATTAAA